GTTATAAAAACCCCTGTGAGGAGTGGTCTGAAAGTGAAACCCAATGTAGGTCTGTGTGCCTGCAACATACTAAGTAGCCTATAAAACATAATTATGTGCAATTCATCTGATTGTACTTTGTATGACTAGGACAGACTCAAGTTTCAGTTGTGAAGCATGGTATAAAACTGTTATTAGCAGTAGTTACAAAGTGCTTTATCAGAATGACAAAGCATCAAAGGATGATTGGTGGAATGTAAAACACAACTCATTACTGTTATGCCAAATTTGTAAAATTAGGTTTACTGAAAATTATTGTAATTAATAATGATGGTGGACATATATTCATAAATTACCTCATTAAATATCATAAAAATACTGTTGTAGTCGCTGTCACACATTTTTAACAAAAATAAGATGTAAAAAGTGTCAGCAATAGTGTTAATTGTCTCTAGATAATTTTCTGGTAAAATATAGAGTTAGATTGCAGTGGAAGTCCACTTCCTCTTCTAGCTTTGTTTCTCTTCCATGTCCTCTCATTTCTACATGTCAGGATCGGGATGATGAGGGATGAGAGATCAATATGAGGAGGCTGTGTGGAGTCAGTACCCAAATTGATAGAAAACAATTTCTTATCTTATGCTGCAGTCATGGGCACAGCCAGGAATCTGACTGGTACCCCTGCCAAAGTCAAAGTGTGATGCTTGTCAGTATTAATGAATGAAAAATGAAAAACAAAGACAAACTGTTGCTTTAAATAGAACTAATATTTTTCTGGTGTTTTAATATTGCTCAGGTTACTTGTATTTTATACCATGCATGCAGCACGATATATGCATTCATTTCTCTGATTGTGTTGTTGCGGAGTACCTCAGTGTGGGCGGGGAACCACTGTGCAGCAGCAAAGTACTCACCCAGGAGTAAATAAGAAATTAGAGTAGTTAGCTAACGAAAATACACAAAATAACCAGTTTGATCCTTAATGTTTAGTTTATTATTTTATAGAACTTTGAGTTTAATTTATTTTTTACATGCACTCTAAATGTGCCACCCCTCTGTGAGTCTGTGCCTCAGCCTGGCCATCCCATCTAAAATTTTCTAGATCTGCCTCTGGCTGTAGTCATATGTCACCATTATTGATAGAGCCATTAGCAATAATGCATATCTTAATCTGTGCTACTGTTTTTAACACAGTTTCACTTGCTACATAATTCCATGTGTTATTTAATAGTTTTGATATCTCCAGTATTGTTCTACTACGTAAAAAGAGTAAAAATATAGAAAAGCCCCTGGTGACTGGTAATGGGTGCAGACATGGGTGAATGTGTGGCTCTGAGAAGAACATGACAAAATACATGACTTATTTGTTTTAATGCCCATAACTCTGTTTTATAACTATGCTAGTTTATTCTGCTGAATAGACTAGATACGTGGAGGCATAGGTAAGTGGAGACAGCAAATTAAAAAGAAGGTCACTATGGGTTTATGCTCTTCTTAAAGTTTGCAATTAAACAGTACTTAGAATTGATGTACGGTATTGGTCCTTTCCCTTGCTGCATTCCCACTTTTACACACCAGAGGGAGTCAGTGATTCTTTCTTTCATGATGGTTTTCCACTGCACCCTTTCATAATGCTATTTGTTTCAACTTGACAGAGGAAATTCAACAGGGCTTGTACATGAGTATACAGGACAGAGGAAAGTCTTCTTTGACATCTGAAGACACAATGAACATGGAGACACTAGATAAGCCATGTTTGACACTTTGACCCTAGACCCTGAGCCCTTCTAAGTGGTCTTTAGAGTGTTTGCACGCTTGTTAGGCCATATGTCTGTACAGATGTATTCTGACAAATACATCCACATATACACACATGCCTTATCATTCACATTAGGGTATACACATACACATCACAAGCATACGATCACATGACAAGTCAGAGTGCGTACATACAGTAGTTGTGATAAACTCTCTCCTCAGGCTATGTCTTTAAAGGTCATCTTGATGGGACACAGATCATCAGAGGGCAGATGTTAAGAGCAAAAGGAACACTTTCATCTCCTCTGTGAAATATGTGTGTCCAATCTAATAATGACCCAGAGTCACACTTTGCACACACTTAAAGGAGGACACAGGATGAAGGAAATGTATCCTAGTACTATCTGTCTTTCTTGGCAGTGTGCACAGTGGCCAGTGGCCTTTCCCTTGGGATCCATCTATGGCAAAAATTGAACTGTCTCATGTGACTTAATTGGGTATTTGCCTAATTACAGTACATGTTTCTTTTAAGTCCTTGCTCCTCAAACAAGACTGACAATACCAACATTAGAAAATGTAAATTAAATTTCTGCTTTAGAGGGGCATTACAATAAGATTTCACTGTTATATTTTAACTTTGGAGCCCCTGGCTGATTATAAAGCCCCTTGACATCCAGTTTGGCTTACAAGGAAGAAGGGGGAAGGGGTTGTGTGAGGATTAGGGAACAAAAGGATCCTTCTCTGTCATCAAAGAGGATCTGCTCCCAACTCATCTTCTGCTCTGTGGCGACAGCTTTTCATTTTTTGGGAGAGGGAGTGACGGCTGGAGGTAGGGTGGGATCTAGCGAGAGAGTTTGATGATAGGGGATGCAGATTTCAAAGTAATCTTTAACTTTAAGACCAGCAGTCCCTGTGAAATGAAGCCCTCTGCCCCAGACACAGTGTTGCCTTTGGCTCCCAGTGGAAGCCTGCCCACCCCTTCTTTTTCCCCTCAAGCTTTTGTCACAGTGGCATTTAAGTGGCATTACTCAGTGACTGGATGACCAAGTGAAGGAGTCTCTTTGAGGGACCTGAAAGAGGTGGATTTTAACTCCTGAGACCAAGTGTCACCTCTTAAAACAACAACATGTTGAGATAAATGCTTGCTGTGTAATTAGGATTCGGTAAGTATTTGAATCAAATAGAGACATCTGTGTGAATCATAACTGATCTAATAACCCAAACAATGTGAGGTGGCTGCAGTGCTAAACTTTTAATAATTTTCTCAAACATAGGCAGTGATGGGTGTGAAGTGATACATGTTGGAGCTCCATTTATAGGAAACAAATCCACATAAACTCAATTAACCATACTTTTATTGCATGTTTCCCTGTAACCTAATACCTTGTGAGAATGATCTGGGTGTGGACCAAGTCATTAGTGGAGTTTATATTTTCTTACAGTTATGCCTTTGGAATATGAAGCTAAACCCATCACATGATTTTACACCCCAGGAGGAGGTCATCTCCATTGTCTCACTATTTTACAACACTACTTATTTTGCCTCCACCCCCTACCCCAAAGTTATTTATCTCATCTTGTAAAGGCTCATGTCCCCCCAGGGTCAGTGGCCTGGGAGCCCCTGCTGACCTGGTCCACCACGGGGACTCAGTGTAATCACACAGAGGGGGTTATGGGGTAAGCAGGTTTTGTCACTGGCACAATAGGTCATGTTGTTAGAGATGGTGGTGACACAAGAACATTTTAATAATTCAATCACATAGGAGCAGCTTGACACTTATAGACACACATGCATGCACACTTGCTCACAGAGTAATGTCTGAGCACCTTGTGAAATTTATCACATAAATATATTCTGTGAATGAAATAAATGTGAGAGGATAATAGGGAAGAAAACAGCTGTAATGGGCAGTCTTCCTATTACTCCACTGTGACGGTTAATGTTGCACTTAGTAGGACATGATGCTCATACAGCCATCCATCTGAGTAAAAATAGATCATTTTCACAGCAGGCATTTGGCTTGTCATAGCAGGAAACCCACAGGTGTTACTTATCAATGCTGTGTTGCATTCTGCATTTTATTTACATGTGCTTTTCCTAATATGACATGTAAAAATGTCTTCTGTGAAAAAGGCCTATGGAGTTCGAATTGTAAGGTGCATGACATAGAGAAAGGTCTTGTAAACTGGAGAGGCTAAATCAGCTCACGACTGGGATTTACCCTACAGAGAGAACTCTGAGGTGTGATAGGCCCTCAGCTATTGCACGGACCCAAGTGAAACTGGATTGTCACATATTGGAACCCAGTCAAAAATAAAAGCTACACATATTCTACTGTCACATAATGACTATTTCTATTGTAAATGAAGCCGGTCCACAAAATAGGCTACATTGTTATCTTTAGTCATCAGATATCAATCTATGCAGACTGAGTTCAGCCAGCCTAGCTCTGCTGTTATAAAGTCTGTTTCAAATCTGTACTTGCACGTTAAGAAAGTGACAGTGGGCAAAAACAGGTTGAGAACACTGGCAACAAGCAAACGAACACACAGGTGTTATAGAGGAGTGGATCTAGGAGCAACCCAGCAAACTGGTAGTGTGGCGGACTGTAGCTGTAGCATACTTTGCAGTATAGCTATTCGCTGGGAAACGGGTGCAGCAGAGCTAAAATCGCCTCCTGTATTAACTGCTATATTCCGTCTGACTGAGCTAGGAAAACGCGTTATGGCATTTTCCACCGCGTACTGAACATTTCTACAGGAAGAAATGCCCACATGGAGTGAAAACTCTGCATTTCTTGAAGTCAGCCCAAGTGATTATCGTGGCTTCCTCCGATTCTGCAGTCACAGACATGTATAACCGGCCTGCAACACAGCTCCTGAACAGGGACACAGAGCACCACAGAACTAAACCCCCTTTTACCTCAATGGACTCGACA